ACTGACTGACAAATAATAAGCCAGGCCCGGCCATCAGAGTTTCCCTTTTCTTTGTCGGTACTCTATGTACTTCTGCATATACTACTGTAGTACTATTTGCTGAGCGACTGCCTACGAGGAATCCGGATTGAGTTCCAGGCACAATAGGACGAACATGTGAACACATTTCCAGTATAGTAACTAAAAAACGTCCAGGGCTGGAAAGAAACCAATCATTCCCTACTCGAAATATACTTAACTGACAATGACAAAAAAGCCACAGCTTGGAATTCGATCTCATGTGGCTAACAAAGAAGAAGCCCTCGAGTTGTCACGGTCACTAGCCATCACGAAAGTGAAAAGTCACAGATATGACGGAATGCATTGTAAGCCAGTCTTCACCACTAAATGCGTGGTTGGAGCGGGTGGGCAGTAGTCTGAGGGCAATCAATATTCCACCAGAAGGTGAAGGAGAGCTGCAGCATAACAGGTGGACTCGTGGGAGAGAGGGAAGGGGACCTACTCGACACTATGCATGTCCAAAAGCACTCTGACGGATCTGCTGCTGCTGCTATCGCCGGCGCCCACAGACACTGAATGCACGCGCTTGAGATGCAGCAGTTGCCTGGTAAAGGGACGCATGTTGGAGAGCGCGGAAACCAAACTGCCAATCAGAGAACCGCCAGACGGAGGTAGGCGGAGACACCAGGCGGGAACGTAGTGTCCCCGTAGGCAACGGTATTCGGGTCCCAGCGCTGCCACCAAGTTCTGCACTCTGGTCACGTAGGGCCCACTCTCCTGACTGGGTAAGAGTTTGGCAGTCCCAGTTGGTGTCTTCGGCGACGCGGAACAGTCCTTTGCCTGTGAGAAAGAAAATCTGGGCAATAAAGTATACGCATACGACGCGCGCAGCAAGTGCAGGAGGGGGAGGGGAGGCGGTAGGAAGCAGAAGGCAACAGTCACCACAAGCACAAAAGGGAGAAATTATTACTGGGATAGAGAAGAATGCAACGGTTTGAAGCAGACGATTCCAGCTTGTTAGGGGATAAGAAGAAACCGATGACTGGAAAAGGAGGTCAAATAGACAGGCTGAAAATATATGCAAAGCGGTCTGCGATACGGTAAACCACAGCTGTGCCATTGTGCCCGCCAATTGAAGGCACACATGAAGCGATGGCGTGTCCAATTTAAGACTCTGTGGCCTTCGCTTGGAGCCTAAGCCGATTTCAAAGGCAACCGCTCTTACGTAGAGGACATTCTAGCTTTCGATAGCAAGCAGTCAAATTCCTAGTTAACGACGTCCTTCGTTGCATTATGCCCAGATAGAGGTCAGAAAACCGAAATTTTCCAACAGAAAGTAGAAAAAATCACAACCTTCCCACAACAACTAAGACTGTTCAGAAGACCCTTGTATGTCTTACGGTTGGACAGATTTGCCATAAGTCGTTCGTGGAGATCGACGCAAATGTTGCGGTTTAAATAGTCTGTAATAGGCTCGTATAAGTAACACCACGAAAACGCGAAACCCCAGGATTCTGTGTTACGGACGGGCGGTAATAGGGGCTATACGGGTGGGGCATTATGGGAGCACTTATCCACCACTATCTGAAATTCCCTAAAGGTTCGATTTAAATGGCCAAAATACGCCATCAATTCGCCATCGAGGTGCCAGCCCGTTGGTATAATGATACAAATTTAGTATAGTATGGGGCAATTGGTAATGCGTTAGAAGCGATCGAGAGTATTAAAATAAGTATGGAGACAAAGCGTAATAGTAAACATTACCATGTCGCTGTTTTCCGTGAATCTCGAAAATTCGATAGCGCGTCGATGAGCATTAGCTGGACAAAAACGCAATAGACTCGACATACGAATAGCGAAAGTATATTACTAGCCCATCGCCAAGGCGCTATGCCTTTGCTACTAGCGTAGGGGTTCTAAGTATCTTTTTATTATCTTATTTTCCATAAACATTCAAAAATTGACTATTATCTTTTCTTTCTTCATAAATTAGAGCATATACTTATATTCACGTGTTATTTCCCTGTAAATCCTCCGCTTGCATAGGCGCACATTTTCGTTGCTGTATTTTAACTTTTATAATAATTTTACCTTTTAGTTCCTGTTTTTGTTTGATATATTTGTTTTGTCTGCTTCGCCTGCGTAATGCCCCACTTGTATAAGTCCTATTACCACCAGTCATTAGTTTCCGTGATGTTACCTATAATAGACTGTTACCAAATATTAATTTCAAATTTCAGACTGAGCCTATAAAGATCCATTCCGGCGGATTTATTCCCTTTTAGCGATTAACTTCTAAGGAAATTGAAAAGCCCTAAAGTTTAGTGTTTTTAGAAGGAAAACGTTAGGTACTGTCTGCAGAGAGAATAAACTGTCCCCCCTTTGAACCGTTCCAGTAAAACGGAAAATGGGGAAGTGGCGGGATGAAACATTGGATTCTACCTCTGTAACTGAAATCGAGGAGTTTTCACATTCTGCCAAAAAGAATGCGTCATCGTTTGCCTCCGAGGGTATGGCTTCTGTATTGCTGGAAGGAGATATTACAGTGAAGCCGGATGCCCTGAGGAGTGGAGCTAGCCTCGAGACAATTAATGCAGTCCCCTGGACGTCCATGGAGGACGGAAAGCTGATGGTGTCCGTCCTAACGTCGACGCAGGCAAAATCTACACCTGAAATACAAAAAGGCCCTGTTTTGAAGAGTAATAAACGGCAACAGAAAGGTGTTCGTCGAAGTAGGAGTAAAGAAAGAGCGAATCCAGCCACTATGGAGTGGACAGACTCAGTGTACCAGAGTGTTGCATCAAGAGGTCTCCAAGGACATAGCAAGGAGAGAGTAGCAAGTCTAAATTCAATGAACAGAGGTCGGGGTGGTAGTCTTTATATTGGGCAAACGACTAGGCGCATACGCAAGCGGGTGCGAGAGCACCATCCGGTCTAGCTAAACCAACGCATGAGAAAGTCTATCACTAGCGTAA